TTTTTTTTTTTTTTTTTTTTTTTTTTTTTCGGCTTAGGGGGTCATTCTAATGTTCTATGCATCTTCCTTATTTTAATAGATGTTCCACACAAAGGATGGCTGATAGGCACCACGCTTCAGTTGTGACGCAGGGAGGGGTTGGTGCCCACTGACAACTCAGGTCAAGGCAGATTATGACTCAGAGCATGAATGATGTCGAGGGATCGACCCTCGCTTAGATGTAGGCAGCCAAAGACCAAGCACATTCTATCGACGTCTATAGACGGGGCTGGCAGATGTCAGCAGACCAGGCCCATTCTCTCTTTTACATTTAGACAGCCAAAGACCAGGCACATTCTTTTTTTTTTTCAAATTGGACCATTTCTCGATTAATGCGTGTCATCCTTGCGCAAGGGCCAAGCTAATCTTCTCTGTATCGTTCCAATTTTAACGGATGTCCCGAAGGACAAGACCAGGCACATTCTACATACGTTTAAAGACGAGACTGCCAGATGTCAGCTGACCAGGCCCCATTCCCTCTTTTACATTGAGGTGTAAGCGTCGGACGTCTATAGACGAGACTCCTTGTGCACAGGGCACATACAGAAATCTCCTTCCAGCATTGCCTCACACCTACCTGCTCAAGGACACAAAGTGGCACCACAACCTTCTCTTCATCTCCTTCACCATTGTCATTGCGCCCTGCCGTTAGTGTCAAACAGTCAAAGATTACCGGACAACCGTTGACTATTAGGCACGTCCTGAAGGTGCTCGCTCGGACACAAGAAAAATCTGTCTTGACCCCTGCGTGTGACACAAAGCGCATCCCTGGTGTGAGAAGCCACACCCTCCTCGTCATCTCCTTCGCCATCGTCACTGCGCCCACTGCGATAAAGTATCACAGATTCCATGCCCTCAGACCATCCACACATCCCATTGCTGTCCCTAACCCCTGCGCTGCACCTTGTGACGACCACCAATCACTACCTAACCTCTGTCCAATCAATGCGCCAACAAGCTGCATTGATCTCAACCCCCTTCCTGTTCAATGAGCTCAGCAGGCCGTACGCCAGAGGGATATGCTTTCCCGAGATAGTGGAAACCGCCTTGCGGAAACTGTGCTGCGAACCTGTTCTCGAAGCGCCAGTTCATCCGAAGCCGAGTACGGCTCTCACCGGTTTACGCGGCACGAGCTTTTCAAGTCGTGCCTGGGCCTGTAGCGAACGCGGCACGCCACCTTGAAAAGACGCAGTTGCGGGCTCGCAAGCCTTGGAAGGTGGCTTCCTCAAGCTGGTGTTTCTTTTTTTTTTTTTCCCTCAGCTGGTGGTTTAACAACAAGCAGTATGGCAACATTGCCACAACCCTTTTTTTTTTTCCCCATTGAAGGCTCCGTCCATTGGTGGGGAGCTGCAGCTGCTGGGAACCGGGCCCATCGTCCCATAATTTTACAATATGATGCCATGTTGCTGGAAAAAGGATCCAGCGGCCACATCCCTTTCCTTACGCTCAATGGGAATGGAACATACGACTTGACGTCTCCCAAAGGTTTCTCCCCAGTTCCTCATTGCAGGCAAGTTGGGATCCCTTCAAATGTCTTCCCTTTCCACCAAAGTAGTACAACCCAGATGTCCCCTGCGACAATTTTCAGTTTTCACCACAACAAGTTCAACAATACAATCAAAGATCCAGAGAAAAGAAAGAAAGAGATTGGGACAAGTGGCACTCGCTAAGTCAGCTCAGGTGCTATTGTTATGAACTTGGTTGTCTGACGAATTTTATCGCCACTCACACACAGACAATCTCACACATGCCCATACATGCATAAGAGAAGGGGAGAGAGGAGACAGAGTCCAAACTGCACACAGGTGAAAATAAGCAGCGGAAGACAAT